TTCACTAACCAGTTACAGAAAGAATCTGCAGAATTGATTTAATGTACAGATTTGCAGTTTCCTTGGGCCTAAACAAAGACATGAATCAGTTGGCACATTACAAAACCAATATCTCCTCCATTAACATCTGCATTTCCACATCAAAAGCTATGTATGGGACACAACCATCACTTAATGTGAGTCCTGCAAGTAACAGGTACTACTTTTGGTGTTATATATGTCTCTTGGTTTCCATTCCAATTCATGTGATTGAGTGGGTTTTACCCACAAAGCTCATGATTCTATATATTTTGGTTAGTCTCTAAGGTGCCATAGGATTATTTTTAAAGCTACAGACTAACTCAGTTACCCCTCTGAGATTTCAAACTCTTATGATTTATAGTGAAACATTTTTTTTTAATCCTTTTTAAAATTGTGTGCAAAAATGTATAGAGGGCAGGCATTTTCTGAGCCCATATCAACTGATTTATCAAAGTATTTGTGTATTCTCGCAATTTCAGAACTCAGAATGTTGCTGGTCCTTTGGCCTAATAAATACTGTTAACCCAGGTTCTATACACTAAGCCTATATCTAAACAAGAGTGTTATTTCAAAATAACCAAGCGTTATTTTGAAATAATGTCAAAATACTGCCAAGCTGGAAGACTTCTTACCCCAAATCCTGTAACCCTCATTGTATGAGGAGTAAAGGAAGTTGGAGGAAGAGTGCTCTATTTTGAAATAAGTGCTTCATAGACACTCCCAATTTCGAAATAAGCTATGCAATTGATGTAGCTCAATTTGCGTAGATTATTTCAAGTTAAGCCCTGTTGTATTAGATGCACTCTCTTATAAGTTGCTTCTGGACAATACTTTGCATTTACATTGTGCCTCTCTCCCAAGGGTATCTAAATACTTTACAAACATAGGTGAATAAACTCAGGTGAAATGGCTTACCAGAATTGCACCATGAACTAGTAACAGTGTATAAAAATACAATCCTAAATTTCCTAACTCCTGAAAAGCCATGTTGTCTCCTGTGTAATTAATTAACCTAACAGAACCTTAAGGAAAAGGGGACTGCAGTACGTATTTCATGCTTCCATAAAATCCAGTTATAAAGCTGTATCTTTGAAAAAGCTGGCTACTTATTTAGCCAGAGTGAATTTACCAATCACAGTTTCAGCTGAAAGGAAAAATAGGTAGATGTCTACAGTGAGAAAGATCAGTTCAGATAAAAGACATTAGTAACTAACTGTCTCTTAAAAAGCTCATTTCTCATAGAAAAAGTCAGTAAAACTATCAAAAATATTCAAGTATTGGCCAAACTCTGCTCCAGGTGAAGTCTGGTAAAAATTCTTTCTTCAATGGGAGCGGAGTCAGACCGGTACTTAACACTCCTGAAAATCCCACACATTAACTTAAGAAGAAAGTGAGTGCTGTGCCCTATTGCGCAGATGCTCTCTTCCAGATAAGCATGGAGGGGAAATAAAGCCCAGGTTTGGTTACCCAGCAATCTTCTAACACAAAAAACAATACATAGTATTTTTCACTGTTGACACTGTGAAAGAGATTTATGAAAGAGATTTAAATTTATAATTCTGGCACTTACATGAGATTCAATTAATTACCAGATTTTAAGTGTGGTCTAATACTCCAAAACTTCTGCAATTTACATTTATCTTCTAAAATTTCATAACAGCTATGTTATGGGTGAAAAGGTACTCGTATTATGTGCCCTTGGTTTCAGACACATGTAATTTACCCCACCAAAAAAAAAAAAATCCCTTTTGGACTAAAATTTCTCATAGTTGTTTACAGTCAGGAGGTGAATCTGCTTGTGGTTTGTTTTTTTAGAGTTTAAGGACAATCCATTTAGTGATTTTTGAGTTAAATGTGTGGCAAAAATTTGTTCACGTTAAAAAAAAATTGTTTGTGTTTTCTACACTTGCAGCTGACATGGAGGGAGGTTATGCAGGGGAGTGCAGAGATCATACTCCCCTTCACAGTCATTTAAAGTTGGGTCACAAACCTGGCTCTTTGTGTTTTTGCATAATTGACTTATTTTGTTAAATTTGTCTGTGATGCTTCAATAATTTGAGTGTTGATTTCTCACTTCTGGGCTGTGTTATGTCCAATAAAAGCTTACATATTTCTTTGGTAGCAAATTAATGATTTACAACTCCAAGTGGCCTCACTGTCTCAGTCTGAAAGCGACTTGCTTGAGTCTAATCAAAAGCTGAAGGAAATGTTGGAGAGATTAAAACAAGAATGTCGCAATGCAAGAAGTCAAGCAGAAAAAGCTCAGCTAGAAGCAGAGAAGTATGGTTTGCTTTTTCATCTGTTTTAATTCAATTTTTTCCCCACGTAGGCATGTAATTCTTTAATAGTATTTCTCACCACTGGCATGACTTACAATGTAATGAAGCCCCTTTTTGTCCAGATCTTCTTGCTAGTATCATGAAAAAAGTGAGAGTTCTTAAATGTGCTTTTAATTTCAACTTCCTAGTGTAAAAATAGATTTCTGCCTTGTAATAGATTTAACAGTATGCATATGCATCCATTTGACTTTCATTTATCGGTTACTAGGGGGCTGCGCCTCCTGCTCTCTATGCTCGCCAATCCCCCTGTCTCTGGTGAGGTGTCTGGCCACGGGGGAGGGTGCTAGAGCAGGTCGTGGGTGTGGGGTCTCAGTGAAATGACTTTGGTAGTGCCAGGATTTCCCTTATGGCTTCTGTCATAGCAATAGATAAAGGCAAAAATGTAATCTTTATGTACTTTGAAAGGGGTTTCAAGAATCACCCCAGCCTTTTCTTCAGAGTGTTCTGCTTTCTATGTGGTAGATGCATTTACTTTAAGTAACTCCTATCAGATTGTAAAGTGAAAATCTAGTCAACAATTCTGACATACTCAAAACTGAACGATTTTTTGGTTCTTTCCTGAACCTACCAGTGGCATTGGTATGTTCGATAAGAACTTGGTAATAAACACTGAAGGAAACAGAATAGTGATAGAAATGTAGCCGTGTTAGTCTGGGGTAGTTGAAGCAAAATGCAGGACACAATGTAGCACTTTAAAGACTAACAAGATGGTTTATTAGATGATAGCTTTCGTGGGCCAGACCCACTTCCTCAGATCAAATAGTGGAAGAAAGTAGTCACAACCATATATACCAAAGGATACAATTAAAAAAAAGAACAAATATGAAAAGGACAAATCACATTGCAGAACAGGAGGGGGATGCGGTGGGGGGGAGGGGGAAGGAAGGTAAGTGTCTGTGAATTGATGATATTAGAGGTAGGGAGAGTGGGATGTTTGTGAGTTAATGGTATTAGAGGTGATAATTGGGGAAACTATCTTGGTAATGGGTGAGATAACAAACATTTGAACTAAGTCCTTGTTGGAAAGTGTCGAATTTTAACATGAATGACAGTTCAGAGGATTCCCTTTCAAGTGCAGATGTAAGTAAAAGGTCTTTGTAGCAGAATGCAGGTGGTCAAGTCATTGAGAGAGTGTCCTTTCTGGTTAAAATGGCAAGAAACTGTTTTCTCTTTGTGATCTTGTCTGATATCTGTTTTGTGGGCATTAATCCTTTGGCGAAGTGTCTGAGATGTTTGTCCAATGTACATAGCAGACGGACACTTTCGGCACACGATAGCATAGATTATATTTCTGGATGCGCAGGAATATGTGTTCTTGATCTTATAACTCACTTGGTTGGGTCCAATAATGGTATCAGCAGAATGAATATGTGGACAAAGCTGGCAACGGGGTTTGTTGCAAGGGAAGGTACCAGGGTTGGTATTAGTGTGGTATGTCCTGTGGTGGTTGGTAAGAATCATCTTGAGGTTAGGTGGTTGTCTATAGGAGACTATGGGTCTGTCTCCCAGAGCCTCTTTGAGTATGGTATCCTGTTCCAATATAGGCTGTAGTTTATTGATAATGTGTTGGACAGGTTTAAGTTGGGGGTTGTAGGTGATGACAAGTGGTGTTCTATTGTTGGTTTTCTTGGGTCTGTCTTGAAGTAGATGGTTTCTAGGTATTCGTCTGGCTCTTTCAATTTGCTTTTTTATTTCTCCGGGTGGGTAGTTTGAGTTGAAGGAAACAGAGATTCTTATCCAGGGCAAGCTTGCCTACAAGCCTTCTTTCTTGGAACTTAAAGACTGCGACTAGACCCTTGTTAGTTAGAAAAACATTAGGAAAGTTTTCAATAAAATACTAAATTGTTATAAACATGGTAGTTATTTCCTTTTATAGTTTTGTTCTTTGTTTTTAAATAAGTGCATTTCCCAAAGCAAGAAGCCACATACCAGAAGATATATGTGTTTGGCCTTATCTGTGATTTGATTGACCAAGAACTATGGTGGGTGTTGCTTTTGTTCAGAAGAGCAGTAAACTGTGTTACAGCAACCCACCCTTGTCTATTCATGCATTCGCAAGGTAGACCGCTCTTGTAACTACAGTTTGGCACTGCTCTGGTCACTCTTCACTAGACTGTAATGTGGCTCTCACAGGAAAAGGCAGAAATTTGTCCTGTGCACTAGGGATGTAAAATCCTGTTTTAATTTAACTGGTTAAACATTCTGTTTAACTGGTAAACTGATTAAGGGAGAGATGGGCAGGCTGGAGTGGTGGCTGGACCAGCGCCCTCTCCCATCCCTCCTCTCCCCCTCTGCGGGCAGGGACTGGTCCAGACCAGCCCTTTCTGTAGTGGGCCCATGGTAAACGGGCTGCTCCAGCTGGCAGGAGCAGTCCCTGCCTACAACACACTAGGGCCCTCCTCAAAGCTGGAGCAGCCCATTCCCAGGTGGGGGCTGCTCCAGCCCCCACTGTTTACTAGTTAACCAGTTAACCTTTCATGTCCCTATTGTACATATAATTTATGGATTATCAAAATGCTAATCCAAAGGACAAGCCTGTTTACAAAATTAAGCACTTTATTTGAATTAAGCCAATAATGAAGTAAATTCAGAAGTTCAAATTTGTTGAATTTCAAGCACAGTTCAAAATTGTTAGCTATTTCAAACATATGGTTGGTTCATGAAGGAATAGTGGGTGGAGTAAAGTGTATATGTCAGGGATCCTAGATGCTGATATTTATTTAAAAGAATTAAGTGTTTTGATTACAACACCACTCTTTAATGTTCTTCTCCCAGGATGTTGGAAGACAAACGTGTAGAGTGGTTGGAAGAAAAGCATAAACTTATTCAGCGTACTACAGAAAAAGAAGAGAAGTATGACCAGGTAAAAGAGAAACTACACCGGGCTGCTATTGCTCAAAAAAAGGTATGTTGACTGTTTGCTTCAGTGCTTATGAAGGGACAGAAAGCTCAGTTCTCAGTTTAGGTGTGCAGACTTATTTTTATATTGACTCTTTAATTCCAGCATCTATGTGATTACATGTATAATAGCAAAATATACCAGGTGCTTCAAGATAGGCATAATTTCATGTATTTGAGGTGACAGTGGTTGTAATATGTTGAAATAGGAGCCAACCATGTTCTTCAATTAAATACTTTAGGTCAGCCTGGAGATGGACCAAGAATTAACCAATAGGCTGTTGTTAGATGCTAGCAGGATGACATTTCCCTTTTCAGTAATATCTAGATGGTACATTGTTCATATCCAAGCACCAATCTGCTACATCCCCACATGTTAATACTATTAATGGAAATATTGAATTTTGTATTTTTGTTTCCCCTAATATTGCATGCTATGGAACATTAGCACAAAAGGAGAAACTGGTTATTATTTATTCCAACTTCACATGTTTTAGCTCTTAATAAAGCTCAGGATTAGTTAGTAATTTCATGTACCATAAAGACACATACAGGATGCCTGCAACTAGTTTATAAAACATAAAGCTGATGTTATTGATGTCATCATTAGCAAGTGATGTTAGAGAGGAAATAAAATCTATGCTGTTTATATTACTAAACAGTTGCAAATGATGAGCTTATGAGTATGTCTATCAATTTGTCATTGTCTTATACAAGACTTAGTAGCTCTTTCATTTTCCCAACAGGAGGTTTGGAATTGTCTATAACAGCAGATTCTCATCCCACAGCCCAATTTGCACACAGTTGAAGTTCAGCTGTGTTATAAAAAAAGAAAAAATTCAGAATCTGTTGCTCTGATCTAGCAGGGGGTGCAGTACTGGCTGAGGCAGACACAATGTCTTGCAGCCAGCATCAGCATTCGTGCCAGCAGGGGGCTGGTGAGCACCTGGGGAGAAGGGATGGAAGAGTGGTCTAGGGCTATGAACACCAACCAGTCAATCGCGAATGACTGGTCGATCCCGAGGCCTTGAACAGTAGGTCCTGAGGCGTTCTGGGCCTCCCATTTCCCCCCACCCCCAAGAAGCCCCACTACCTACCTCGAGCAACAATGGAGGTAGTGGCAATTTCCCATGGGGTGGACGGAAGTCCTACAGCTGCGCGTCACTTCCAGGGGTTCCAGAAATGCGTTAGCTGCTTCCTTGCCCCAGCTCCCTGGCGTTCTGGGAACTTACCGGGTAAGTCCCCGGAGGTGCGCACTGGGACTTCCCTTCTCTGCGGGAGGGGGGAGTCAGGCCCGGAGGGGGCATGCAACGGAGGCTTCCTTGCTCCGTGGGGGAGAGGAGGTCGGCCCTGAGGACATGCATGCGCGGGCTTCTCTGCTCCGCGGGATGGAGGAGGGGTGGGAGTCAGGTCCGGTGGAGGTGTGTGACGGGGCTTCCTTCCTCCATGGGGAGGTCGGCCCTGGAGGGACCGTGCAATGGAGGCTTCTCTCCGAGGCTGGTATAGGGGACTCCCTGCCTCCACTGGCACCTGGCCCCCGAACCTTGTCCGCACTCTCCAGCCCCCCTGTTCCCTGCCCCCAGCCACAGAACTCTGTTCCCCCTGTCCCCCTGCTGCAGAAACCAGTCCCCACTAGCACCCTACCCCCTACTGCAGAAACCTGTTCCCCTACCCTCTGCTGCAGAAACCTGTCCTCCTGGCACCCTGTTCCCTCTCCCCTACTCCCAGCCACAGAACCCTGCCCCCCACTGGCACCCTGTTCCCTGCCCCAGCACCCACTAGCATTCTTCCCCAGTACCATGTCCCCTGCTCCCAAACTGATTTTTCTGTGTCAGTGACCCTGACTCAAGACAGGTTCCCTGCCCTTCTTATAAATAAAGACAATGCAGAAGCTTTTTGTGTTTGACATAGTATTTTATTTAAAAATGAAGCCTGGCCAACAAACCCCCAATTGGGGCCAAGCCCCCATCTGGCTGTAGCATCATAATACTCCTGCACACACTCCCAGACCCTAGATCTGAGCCGATCATACACTGGAACCCCCTGCCCTGAACCCCTCACATACCCCAACCCAAATTCCTGCACCCTCACAGCCACAAGCCTGTGT